TACGGTCTATTTTAGAGAAATTATGTATGGGATAAAAATTATAGAGAATTATATTACAAACAACTTTTATTTTAACAATTTTTATAAAAAATTATTTTTTTTACATTTTGTCAAATTTCTTGAATACGGGCCATTTTAGGAAAATTTTGTATAGAACAAAAATTATAGGTAATAATATTGTAAGTAACTTTTATTCGAAGAATTTTCTTCTCCAAACGTAAATAACGGATATATTCCATAAAATATAAAAATGACCACCAATAAAGTACCCCCCCAAATGTTCCGACTCTGCCCAAAATCTAATCAGTTCACCGCAGGTCGGAATAAAGCTTAAGTTTAAAATTTGGTGTTTTTCTTTGTATCGGTTCATAAGTTATGGTGGACACACACACACCCACGCGCACACGCATACGCACCCGCACGCACACACCCACCCACACAAATCCGTCGAAAACTGGAGGTCGAAAAAATCATGATTCCTATAGGAAAGTAAAAAGTTATTCAGGTGGTCACTTGTTGAATTCCTAAATTTTGGAACCATGTATTTCTTTCTCATATCAAGAAAAGGAAACCTAAAAAAAATAACAATAAACTTTACAAAGATGTGATATTAAAATAATAAGTAATTAAGATTTACTATAATCATTATGAGACGGATGAAGACGAACTTAGCTGGAGTTTACTTGCTCATAATTTTACTTTTTCGATAAGAAAATAAGAAAGTTTAATTGCAAATTAAAGGTGATTGCCTAATGCACCGCCTCTGATAATTAGGTTGTGTCTGTACTTACTTATGATATTTGTATGATATTATCTTGAAGAAGCATTTTCAACAGGCCTTTTACACATAAAAAAAATGTGTCAGAAAGTGTCAGAACTGGCGCTGTCAAACTTGGCAACGCTGATTAAATAAGCCAATTACAGAAGAGGTATTTTCCCCCTCCGGGGGAGTAGATGTTACATTGAAACATTTGCAATGTTGTATAAATATTACGAAATATCTCAGAAACATTTATGAAATATGCCTAAAACGTAATAATGTCCTCTAAATATAATATTTCACAGTAATGTTTCTGAAATGAAAATTAGAAATATTAAATAGTAATATTTCAGAAATGCATTCTAGTTTTTTTCTAATATATTATTAGACTAAAAAAAGACATTTAAAAATATACATGTTTATTTAAAATACACAAACTCAAACATTGATTCTTAAACAAATAAATAAATATGTTTTAAAGAATATTTCATAAAATATAGAAGTGAATTGCTTCATTTCCACCAAATTCCTTTAAATGCACTAATTTGAAACAACTAGGTTTTTCTTTAATAAATGCTCCAAGTAAAGAAACATTTACGTTTATTATAATCTAATCATTAAGATCAATTAGCAATTTTATTTTTACCTAACTTATCTAGGGATGAAAAACTTCATAAACTAAAATTCTACTCACTATATAGTGTACTTTAGAGTCTAATTATCTAGTTACACTACCATTAACGTATAAAATTAACCACACTATACTGTGATTTAATCTAACATCACTGAACTAACTCAAAAGCCTGGTTCTCTTGAATCTCCTTATTAGATTGGCATTGTTGAGGAGCTGGATAATCTCAAGGTTTCCATGTTGGAGCAGTTGTTGTTGGTGACTACTGGCAAATTTTTGTATTGTATTTTCAACAGTATCCACTTTAGGGTCCCTATGAAGATCAGTATTACGGCAGTACCAGGATGCATCGACGATGTTCCTTAATACTTTACCCTGGAAACGTTGAATGACTTGAATGTTATTTTTACTGGCACAGCCTTAAAGCTGACAAATTGCTTCATTTCCACCAATTCCTTTAAATGCACTAATCTGAAACAAAATATAGGTAATTAAAAAGGATTTATACAAATTATTTGATTAACAATAGTTTTATTAATATTGTTTATTAACTATAATAAAACAATACTCATCCCACTATGCACAAAACGTTAAATTAATCAGAACTTTACATCACATTGTTGCATTGTAACTCTTATTTTTATTCTTGTTTTCATCTATAGGATGGACTCATAACCGTCTAAGCCCAGAGTAGGGACGTTTACTTTTGTGATGAAACAATGTAGACGTTCCGGTGACATTCCTGTTATATCCAAGAAAGTATTTTTACTTCTTGTAGATGTTATTATAAAGCACATAAAATAAAATCATATTATTGAACTAAATGTGACGATCATACCTTTTTATTTTTATCTAAATTTTGTATGGACTATAAATATTTTACATATTTCATCTATATAAAACAGAATAGAAATAAATAAACTTGTTAGAAGCTTAGAAGACAAGTTAAACTTCTATTCTAATCCCAGGAAATTTTACAGAAAAAGTATGATAATACTAAATCAATATCAAAGGTAAAAGTAAGAACTTGATCAAATACTTGACTTGCCATCCCATTACAAAAAAAAAAAAAAAAATACTTGACTCTGCGCACCAGACTCCTCCATAATACAGTACTACCGGTTACGTAAGTAGCAAGCGATCATTGGTATCTCCATCTATGAACGCGGGACGAACTGTTAGGTCTACCAGGTCTGCGATGTAAAGACTAAAGATAGCCATCTTAAAGATGTGTAACTTGTACACATTACTGTGCTGATCTGTATGCGATATTATTGTGAGTTATACAAATTAACATCGTATAAATGTTTGTCACAGGAAGTAACCAAAAAGAAGTACAAAAGATGTTTATGTTACTGCTAATTGAAGTATTACAGCGTACATAAAACTTCATTTGTAGATATATGCGAGGAATGTTAATGAATATGATGTTAAAGTTTAAACATCTATGGGATATTTTAGCATTGTTTTAAAAATATATCAAGAAAAGTCTCTATGAGAAACGTTACAAAAAGACTGGTAATGTTTCATGTTTAGTGGGATGTCTAAACAAAACATGAAGATCCACCTAAGCAAGCATTATTATGTAGTTCTCACCTTAATTTCTAAAGATATTCTGCTTCTTATGTAACAAGTTCACAACGCATGAATATCAAAAACCAACAACTCAAATCTATAATTATTTAGAATATAGGCTTGTTTAAAGTTGGTGACTGGACAGGGGACATGAAAAAAAAAATAACTACGTATCCCATCTTCTTCTTGCAAATCAGAAATTCATTAATTGTTGGCCTTTTGTAACAACCAATTAGCCTAAAGACCAACGCTCGTCACCAAATGTGACAACCAGTTTGCCTAAAGACCATTTGCAACCACTGACAGGTCTCTAGCCACTGCTGTTAATATATTATCAAGGGATTAGGCAGCGCCTGTCACCAGCCCTAGGGTCCTGGAGTCCTGAAGGAACATCCATTCGCCAGTGGCAAAATAAAATATAAAAATACAAAAAAAAAACATCCCTTAATAGCATATGTCGAGCGGTTTTGGCAACTGACTTGAGACTCTCAAGTCCTTAAGGGTAGGAACGCCGAGGCTTAACATGCTCGGAATATTTCTTACTGGTTTTTGGAAGGAGGTGAGAATAAAATAGGTTAATAAACAATAACACGTATATTTAAATATAAGTAAAAAATGATTAACAATTTCAATAAATCAAAACAATCTCTATTTTTGAAATAAGACATAGCAAAAATTACTACCCACAATTGTAAATCTTTATTATGATAAACCATGCTAAGATAATATAATCTAAGATGAAACTTTGATATAATGAAACCTTTTACATCACAAAAACATTTTAATATAAAAAAACTCTTTATATGATAAAACCCTTAAAACTGATAAACATTTAATAAGTAAACTTGGGACGAAAATGAAAGAATTGGCATTTGAAGAAAGACTAATGAACTGTTTTAAAATACATAACCCAAACAAGAGATTTAAACATGTTAAAATAAAATAGATATTACCTTTGAAAACAAAACACTACAACACACTTTACTATATATAATAGATATTAATACATTTTTGGGCATAGGTTTGGCCCAACGGCCGCCCCTTGGGTCCTTTTTGTGTCAACGATTGACTCTCTATTTATATCAACCTTAACGTGATTATTTTAAAAAGAAACTCACTTATTTATTTTTAATGATTATTCGCACGATTTGTCCTTTAATTTTCTAGTACAATGAACTATTTCTAATTGTTTGGTTTTAATAAATATGTTGTGTTAATTTAATAGATATTAAAAATATTAGATATTTTTGGGATTTTTGTTAAATTCTTTATATTTTAAAAATAATAATGCCAATTATTACACTTTTACAATATAACCCGTTTAGTAACCTTTTGTGTAACATGTATACCATGTTTCAAAAACATTTGCAGTGAAATATTTAACCTAAAATATTTCAGAAACTTATGCTTGAAACGTTTGAAATATTTCTGAAATATTGTGTGCTATATGGGAATACAAAGCGTAACTGAAATAAGACATGTGCAAACTAACTAAAAATGCGATACTATTTTGTCAGAGGACTTGGGCTATTTCTATCACTTTAATCTGAAACTGCCTTGGAATACTCAGTGATCTGAAAACTCACAATAAGGTAAAACTAGCATAGGTGCCAGGACATAAAGGTAAGCAAGGAAATGAAAAGCCGAGGAAAGAAAAACTGAAGGTCAATTACCACGATTGAATTTTTCTTTCTTTAGTGAAACTGCCACTTTTAAACATATGAGCTACTGTCAATTTTTTTTGTTGTTGCATATTTTTCATTTCACAAGAAATATAAATGCCTTTATTTTACTTTCAAGCAGCTTTGTGGTGTATATATTTGATAAATACAGATATATAGAGCTTGATTTAAAAAATAAAAATAGTTTTGTTATACAAATATTTTTATTTAATACGTTACATTAAATGATTACCTAATAAAATATATCACATTTATTAAAAAAGTATTTAAATAAGTATATATTAACAAAATGTATCATAATAAAAAATAACAATATCTATCTAATTTTCATGTGATATAAATCATTAATGATTTGACTGAGGTATTAATGAAAAAATAAATAAAAAACAATTATTTCTATAAGAATTAAATAAAAAATTATTCGTGGATGAGATTTCCTATTACACTAGATTCTATGTATTAAAAAAAAAAACAACTAAGCGTATTATTCTTTGACTAATATTTTTAAATTTGGTACTATCAAGAAAAAATTATAATTGTTTTAACACATACGACAAGATGAAATGTATAGAAATTATCTTTAATAAATCGCCATGACTAGATACTTAACCTTTATTTAAAATATCAGCTAATTCTTTCATAAGACACATTTGTTCGTGCATGTATACTTTAGTTTCCCAAAGAATTCCGCAAAGTTTTTCATCCGATTTTTCATCCATAGCGACGTCCTCGGACATTTGCGGACAGAATCTGAAATACGGCACTCCAATCGATGAACACCAAGCCCGTGCTCGGTCTACAACGCGACCATCGCACGCAGTCGCCTAGTAAAGAAAATAATATATATTGTATACACGGTTTTATATAAAGAGGAAACGACTATTCAAAACTGATTATGTCAAACGCCTATGTTATCAAGATACGAGTACGAGGAGTCATATTCATAAAGTCTGACGTTTTTAACCTATAATTCAGTTGACAGTTTAATTTTAAACCAAGCAGTTAAGCAGCACTCATATTATTTAGTTATTGAGGTAAACGTTAATTGAAAATGAGTTGTCATAGTGAATAATCGATAAATGGCAATCTACAAGATATTCGTCTGTATCACCAAAGAAACCGTAGTTCAAAATAGATTTTATCTCCTCGTATTCATGTTTTAATTTGACTTGAAAGATGAATAAATTATTTAAATAGTTACATAAAAATATTACCTGATCGACAAGTAACGTGCCTAAGAACGATATTCCTATAACTAATTTGGCGCTGTCCCACACGCTTTCGGGTCGAAACACATCGATTCCCTTCACCTCTGTGACGGGTATCAACCCAGTGCCCAAACTAACGACCACTGTCACAGGACAAGCTTCATCTTCTCTGCCTTTCGCTTTCAGAGCCAACGTATGCTCATGAATTTCGGTCAACGCATCTAAAGTTGGGTTGTTCGCTATTAATCCACCGTCTAAGAATCTACCAAACGCCCTAAAAGCACGAGGAATTGTTTTCATGAAAAACGTAATTTATTTTTTACTAATTTATCCATTTTACATAATTTAATATATGATAATTGAGAGAACGAGCCAGGAAGGTAATTGGTACAAGTTGAGCTACAGAATGGATAAGTGGAACAAGTAAAAGGAAGATGAAGACGCAGGGGACAATCAAGACGTGGCAGAACGAGTGGATAAATAAAGCCCATCAAAATATGGTGTCTATGGCATAGGATGCTTTAGTGACACCTCTATTGGACAAGAGGAGCAAGCAAACGGAAAATGAGGACGCAGGGGACAATCAGGATGTGGCAGAATGAATGGATAAATAAAGCCCATCAAAATATGGTGGCCATGGCATAGGATGCTTCAGTGACCTTTTCGTGTTCTTAATACAATAAAAATAGTTTTTTTACTTTTCATGTGAAATTCTCCCAAGTTATTTAACGAAGTAATTCAAAGTGAAGTGATTGGACAATTTGCAATGAATTCGACTTTCATCAACTCGGCAAATATCTGTTGCAACATCATAATTGAAGAAAATCAGTTCGGAAGGTATTAAAAATTCATAAAATTCATCGGTATAAAATGTAAATTTTGTAAGAACTTAGCGATGATGAACCAGATAGGCGGTTTCAATGTTGTGAAAGAATGACCAACAAATTTTTTTATTTATTTACGGAAAATCTCCTTTTACAAAATAATTATTATCAGTAGATATTTTAAACCTAACCTAAAGTATCACACAAAAAAGAAAAAAAAACTTAAATAACTTAAATATCACAAAAAACTTAGAGCTAAAGAAAGCTAACTCGATAAGTACTCCGTCAGCTGATTTTTAAACCTAAACCGACTAACTCCCGAAAGGTCAGTGTGTTTGTTAATTTAATTTCCTTGCCTTTGAAATCTGGTTAAAGGACTGTTGAGTCCGTAGTTCGTATGATGGAAGCTAATTGAAAATAATGGCTTCTCTCTAATATTTATGTTGTTTAATCTAAAGTTTATTAGCTCCAACATATCCGGACAAGCTATATTCCCTTCCAGGAGGTTATAAAGAAATAAAAGATCATTACCAATTAACGTTTTCTCAACTGACAATAAGTTTAAATGGTTATTAAGCTCCCTCTTAGAAAGATAAGGCATATGTAACCTCCACTGACAAGTTCTTAGAAACCTATTTTGAACTGCTTCTAAATTTAAAATATGAGTCCGGTAATGAGGTGACCAGACTGGTGAAGCATATAAGAGGATGCTGCGCACTAGTGTTAAGTAAAGGATTCGGAATGTAGGCATAGAGAATTCCCTAGAGTTCCTGGTCACAAATCCCAATGTTTTCAGAGCTCTACTAATGATGGATCTCATGTGTGGGACAAATGTCAAAGAACTATCGAAGATCACACCTAGATCCTTGATTTCACTAACTTTCTCCAAAACAGTAGTATTGATATTATAAAGAAAATTTATAGGATTTTTTGATCTTGTGAAGGTGATTGAAAAACATTTACATGGATTTAAAGACAATGGCATTATTTAAAGCCCAATTAATAAAATAGTTTAAATCATCCTGTAACTTCAAACAGTCAGGTAAGTTTAAGATTTCCATGAATAATTTCAGGTCATCGGCGAATAGTAGGAACTTACAATATTTAAATCCTGAAGCCACATCGTTAATAAATATATTAAATAGTAATGGTCCCAAATGAGATCCCTGGGGGACACATGAACTTACATTTATTGGAATTGAAGTAAAACTTTTAACGACAAAGGTTTATATAACAATAATTCTAATAATTTAGGTATTGCAGAAAGTAAAACTACAGGGCGATAGTTAACTATGTCATCTTTCTGACCATTTTTAAATATGGATGTAATGAAACTATCACGCCATTTTGCAGGAAACTGTTGTAATTTCAAAGAGGAATTATAAAAACTAGTGGTTTGGAAAGAGTGAATTTACATTTTTTCAAAAAATAAGCAGGGATTCCATCTGGACCATAACTCAATTTATCTTTTAGGGAGTTAATACCATCATAAACATCACTTAAGGAAAACTGTATAAAGGGAATATCAGGCTGGTTAAAAGCATTATAATGAAGGTTTGGCTCATCTACAATATCTTTCTTATAAGCACTGGAGAAATGCGTAGCAAACAAATTACTGATGTCTTTCCCATTATCAGCAATTGTACCATTATAATACATTCTATTGGGAATCCATGGTCTTGTTTCAAAGAATTAATGTGGTTCCAGAAGTATTTTGTATTTTCACAAACCGTCAGATTTATACCAGAAATATAATTTTCATAATTTAGTTTTGATAAATTTTTACATTGAGACCGAAGGTTAGAAAAATTTAAGTAATCAACAGCATGAGCTGCCTTCTTGCGAGAAATCAACTTTTTAAGTTCAGCTGAAAACCATCTAGGGTTTACTGATAGTTTATATCTCCTAACAGGTACAAATAAAGCTAATGCCAAATTTAAAATCTGATAAAAAATTTCAACACTAACATTAATAATCATTATTGACTAAAATACCCTTCCAATTAATTGGAGCAAAATAATTAATTAATGATGAACCACAATTGATAAAGAATACGGGTCAGTCATATACAACCCGGTTTTTTTTTCGCGAAAATTACGAATCGATATAACTTGTCATACATAAAGTATGAAGGTAGGAATGTAGGGAGGGGATGCATGCTCTAACAGCGGCCGAAATCTTGTTACGATCAGCGGTAGCGTCTTATTGGAGCAAGAAGTATCACCATCGGTTGCACAATGTATTATAATTAAGTTTATCACAAAAGAGGGCGTCAAATCCTCCGACATTTTAACTAGATTGCGTGCACAGTTCGGGGATACGTTATAAAAAAACTCGAGTGTATGAGTGGTCCAGAAAATTTATGGAAGAACCTGAAGCCGGTGAAAATAAGAGTCACTATAGACCTCCACAGTCAAGCGCAACAGATGGCAATATTCGAGCGATTTCTAATTCGGCGATTATTAGTGGATGAAATCGCTACTGTGGCTAACATAAATCATGTAAATGCCCATACCATTTGTTGGCGGCCTGTGATCTTTTCAGAAAGACAGACTACCATTTAGGTGAGGTGGCCGACACTAACGTACTAGTGCGCCTCTAGAGACCACCCAGAACTTCGCTGGGGCCTCCATTACTTACTCGTGGGACGAAACATAAATAAAAACTCACTCTTCCTCTATGCGTATTTATTCACGCTTAAACGATGGTGCCATGCAGGCAAAACAAATGGATTACATATTATAATGGCAAACTGCCGAAGAACTATAAACACTTAACTTAAATTACAATTTAACAAACATGGTTCTATGAGATAAAACAATTTTTACATCTTGTTGATGGAGCGTTTGCAGACCAACCCGTTGTGTCTCTTTACAAAAACTTAGAGCGCACTTCCGTGATATGGAAATGGTTAAGCTTACGTCATGTATTTTATTTCTGATTGGTTACACATTTATTGATTTTTATTTCGTGAGGCGTGGCTTCGCTAGTGAGATTGTTAGAGGTGTGACTTTATTTTTATGTGTAAAGGTGGTGTTATGTATGAGATAAATGAGATAATTGTTGTGTTGTCGCATGCTGCGTGAGTGTTCAAATGTAATTTGAACACCATTATTACAGACTGTCTTGGATTCAGAAAAATGTGTACAGAAAGTTTTGACAGAATCAGAAGCAACATTGAATAGAAATCTGTAAAAGGCTTTTGGAACAATTCGGACGAAAGGGGGAGAAATTTTTACATCGTATAGTTACGTGTGATGAGTCGAATGCACATCATTATACTCCCGAATCCAAAAGAGCAAGTATGGAGTGGCAAAGAAGTGAGGAACATTGCCTCGTAAAAGCCAAAACGAAACTGTCAGCTGCAAAAGTCTGTATAACATTTTTCAGGACTGGAGAGGAATATTGCTCAATGATTTTCTTCATGAACGTCGTAGTGTAAATTCTCCATAGCAATGTCAGCGTGTGGACGCTGCGAAAGTGACATACAGATCCAAAAGACATATGATTTTGCTTCATGATAATGCTCTTTCATAGAGCTCTTTTGACTACACAAAAATTGGCTGAATTTCACTGGGAAATCTTGGAACATCCCCCCATATATCCCATTATTTGTTTGGACCACTGAAAGAAGCGAAGGGGTGGAAAACGTTTCGAAAATGACAACGATGTAGAGTGGTTCATGCACAACTGGGTTGTGACACAGCCCCAAAGTTTTTATGGGGATGGAATCAAAAAGCTTCCTAGGCGTAGGTAAAAATATGTAGACCATCAAGGAGACTATGTAGAAAACTTTGAAGATTGATTTTTATTTTGCATTAATTAATTAATACAAAAAAATCCGGCTTATATTTGACTGACCCTAGCATATCTACTATACTTTTATTTAAATGGAAATGCGACCAAACAAAACTGCTTTACTTATATCTGGAAATGTATTACGTTATGTTTGAAAACATTGAATCTTGAATAGTACACGAATTATAAAACCAGCAAAGTGTACAGGGAAACTTGGTTTTAGATGAAAATTCATTATTTTCCAACAAGATGGAGCACCTCTTCACTATACTGCTGATAAAACATTGGTTAGACAATAATTATCCTAAAAGTGCATTGGGAAAAGGGGATTTTTTATGAGATTTATGAATTACAATGAAGAATTGTGCAGACAAGTCATAGTATTCCAAACTAAACATTTGCCAACTTTTGCCATTAATTTGAAAATTGACTTTATGAGAAAAATTGTAGAAAATATTGTTAACTCCAACGTTTGTATGACTCATAACAAGGAAAATCAAAGTTTTATAACACAAACAAAATGCCAATGGAGACAAACAAATATTTACCTGAAATAAGTTGGTGCAGCACCAGTAGCTCTTCCTACTTGCCACACATGCTGTTCCTCCGGAGGTGGCGGTAATTCGTATTGAGAATCGTGCTTAACCTCTAAAATATCATTGGGACTAGTATACGTTCTAAATAAGTGAAGTTCTACTGGTTTTCTGTCAGCCAATACACCTAAACACATACAGTTTTCTTTGTAAATCTTTCAAAATACTGCCAACAATATCTTAAAAATAACTAACATGTCAAAGGTCTTGCAACAAACTGTCAAATGGTTTATCAGAGATTCCCGATTGTCTTGGAAAAATAAACCATCAAATATGTTACAAGTGAATGTCTTGGCCAAATAGGGTACAAAAGACTGGAGTGTATTCCAAGTGAAAGCCTTCTAAGTGAATATCTTTCAAGTGAATGTCTTCCCAAGTGAATGTCATGTGTCAAACGTCTAATAAATGATTGACGTACATCATATGTCTTACCTGTCACCATTACCCTGGGATGCTTGATATCCGACATGACAGTTTCCGTGCCGAAAGTATCTTTCAAAATATTTTCCAAATTTTCACTAGAATACGGCCGAATGCCGGTGAACGCGTGTTCTTTCAAACGAAAATAGAGACACAGACATTCTTTCAGCGTCTTTCCAGTAGCAATAGCTGAAAAAAAATGGCATCAGATTATAAATAATTAAATAAGATTTTTAAATAATACCTAAAGCCAAAATACCGCCCGTGCTCGTTCCCGCCATCCAATCGAAGCAATCTTTGATCGGTTTACCTAAAACGACTTCGAGTTCAAGTAACATTTGTACCAAAATGAGACCTCTGATACCGCCACCGTCTAAACATAATAACCGTCCGCTGGTTGGAAATTTGCCACTTTGGAATTTACTCGCTGTTACTTCCATACCGGCCACCGACAGCATGGAATTGAGAATATCTCTGTTCGTTGGGCCCATGACCTACAAATTGTTTTAGACAGATGATAACAACAAATACACAAACATTACTGAAGATATGAATAGAGAATATAAAGATGAAATTTTTAGTCACGGAGAGGGAAGAATTATCAACTTTGGGAGTATTTTTTCGAATGGCTTATGCTTTGACTGGGAGAAATTACAAATAATAGTACACACCTTTGGTGGAGGAATGCCTTCGTAAGTACCAACCGCTGAACATCCATCCGTACAACCTTGCAGACCAGATGAACACCTGCTTGCTCCTACGGCTGATACATAGTACAGCAATTTCGGTTCTTGATCTACCGTAATCAAGTGCCTGGCGGTCTCGCCTTTGTTGTTCAAAACGTCTAAGTCAACTCCGAAAATAATGAGAGCTTGTATGATAGCGGGATTGTTCGTTTTTATTGCCAAATGTATGGGTCTATTGCCGTCATAGTCGCCCAAGTTTCCGTTTGCTTGGCGGCTTAAAAGGGCGCACACACAGTCCAGTCTGGAAGAAATTTGTCAATAATAAACGACAATCACATCCAAAACTGGTAACGCCGAGATCGGATCTTCTTTTAAATAATATTAATTATATTACAGACAAGATTAAACAACTATATAAAACTTACCGATTTCTCTCAACCATCACATGTAGAGCAGTTTTATTTTCGAAATTTAAGGCATTTATGTGACAATTAACATCGATCAAGGCCTCTATGACTTGCCTAGAACTAGCCCAATGCAGAGGAGTACCGCCGTTCTTCATGTCCTTCGAATAAAACGTATTGGGATTATTTTGAACGTAATTACCCACATAACTGGGTTCCATGGTCACGGGCGAATCGGGATTTTCACTTTTAGCGGCGGTAATATTGACATCGGCTCCGGCTAGTAGCAGAGCCTTGACGCAATCGGGCTTGTCGGCCAGACAGGCCATATGGAGGGGTGTATAACCGTTTTTGTTACGGGCGTTGAGGCATCTGAGAGGCGAACTTTGAGCCAAAGCCTGAAAATGAGTTAAATACTAAGGTCTAAAGTAGCCAGATCAAAGGTATAGAAAACATCGATCACAGCTCAACTATATGGGACAGGTCATGGTCTAGATGGATGACCGAACTCTAGACGGTAGAACGTACAAGTTGAATGAATGGGAAGGAGTAGGGCGGGACGGAAAGGGAGACTAGACTACAAGCCTGATTTGGGAAACCCAAGCTGAATCAGGCGAGCCTGCAGGAACCCATTATGGGGAAACAAAGGAATGTCTAAAAAGGCAAAGAAAGTAAAAAAGGTCTGAAGGTTAAAAACGACTATTTTATTACCTGTTTACTCACCCCAATAATATCTTTAGTGGTACTTGCAGCATAATGAAATACGGAATTGGCGTCATGGTCCAAATGCTCCAAAGAAGAATTGTTAGAAATTAAAATTTGAACTGTCTTGACGTTTTGAGTGGTTATGGCGACTTGCAAAGGGGACATTCCCGTCTCTACATCGGTGCTGTTTATACAGCAGTTTATTGTCGGGTCGTTGAACGCATTGTAGAGAGCCAAGTGGGCCGCGATATGAGCCAAAGTCCAAGTCGGGTGTTCTACTAGGATATCACAGAGTTTTTGTAAACCATAAATGTTGCACATCTAAAAAACAAGCTTAATCTCTTATATGCATATACATACATGAATGGGCTTATTATATTAATATTTATTAGAGTAATTTGACATGTTATTGCTGTCATTGAAACTCACCTCTTTAGCTACTTCTATAAAAGGTGGTATTCTATCTTTAAAAGTAATGAATCTCAATTCCGCCTCCTCTAAATTTGGTGTTCTAAACAAGCTACAAATATAAAGGCTGATTGTATTCATGTTAGATCTATTTTCAAGTTTTCGTTCTAACAGAAAATAAATATTCAAAATTAGAGACATATACAGTAATGAACTATGCACATTAGGATACCACAAGGCACAGTTTTAGGATCACTATTATTCATCACTTACTCATATATTAACTCTCTCTTAAAAACCAGAATATATGGTTACGCAGATGACACCTTGGATGACACATTATTAATATTTAATGATAAATGAAATTTAGTCAAGGAAAAGGCTGAACTATGTAAGTATATAAAGTCAAATACTGGTTATACTATAATAACTTATCATTGAATGATGCAAAGACTTTCTATATGCTGCTTTAAGAAAAAAATTACAAATTAATAAAATAAAGTGAAATACCTACATTGTAACTTGAAAAAAAACTTAATTTTGAGTGATTTTTTATTATTAACAAATCATTGTCTAAAATACCTGAAAAGTTGATAGAGCGTTTCAGTGGCTGGTCTGTGGAGAACTATTTCATAATTAAGACTTCCTTTAGCTTTCTGTGTAATGGGTGGAGGTGAATACAAAACCAATCCATCTTCTCTTGAATATATATCTCTCGAAGAAAACAAATCAGGTCTAGTCTCCATTACTTTATCTGAAGGAGGCTCTGCACTAAGCAGATTCCGCAAAACTACAAGAGGTTAAAATATTTACAGCAATTTTAGTGTAGGTCTAGCCTAATGCTTAAAGCGAGAAATGGTTTTTATAATTTAAAAGACTCTACTCGCTTGTTTTACAGTTCCTACACATGAGAGAAAAAATGTGGCTACGAATGTACTGCAGTCGATCAAATAATAATCTTTATTAAATAGTTAGTCCTAATTTACAAATTATGTCAGTAAACATAATTACAGGTTCTAATATAAATACATATATATGACAGATACAAAAATATAAAATACATATAAGAGAGATACAAAAATATAAGGATTTTTTAAAAATTTGAAAGTAAACATTACATATTGCATTAAGATGAAATTTAAAAGGACAAATTACTAGTGCGGAACTTAAATACTTAAAAAGTTCCAACTCAAAGGTAACAACCGTATTACATTCTTTCATCTCTTTGGGAAGTTTGTTGAATTCAAGCAGACCTTTATGAAATAGGGATTTCTATGTGCATGTATAGTTAGTATGAGTGACAAAAGTGTGTTGCTTCTAGTGGGGTACCTCCTTCCTATAAGTGTCCCTTTTAGCGATTTCATTATAGAACCTGAAGCTACCTAAACTAATTTAAAATTTTGCTGGATGGGTGTGAAAGCAATATTTTTGTCCTAACGAGGAAGAAAATAATTAAAAGAATAAGGATTGGAGATTGGATTGATTTATATCAGATAATGAGATTGGTTTCATGCTAGAAAGGTTTACATCAGATGCGTTTGTTATTACCTAAAAGGTAAAGTGATCATCCGTCCCGATTTTAAACCACTAGTCCCGATTTTGTCCGATTAAAAAGATTTCATTTAAGCGGCCTAAAAATATAATTTTTATGGTGATGTATTTGTTTTGCTCTTTAAACCCTCACTACTGCAAATAAAATTCGTCAACGGTTTCCGCTTTCTACTTTTCAAAATATGGTCACTTTACTAAAAGGTCAATCATGAAAAAATACCACTACAAATGACAAATTATGTTTATTGAAATGAAAAATGCATATGACAGGAACCAATTGGTGTTGAAAATGAAATAGACTAGTAAAATTCCAGACATTGTTGAGATGCTTTCGAATGGTCACTAAAAAGTGGGGAATGCTATGTTAGGGCAGTACCAATTTAAATGAAAGGAAACAGTGCGAGAGTTGTATGTTGAAGATACACAAGTAAGGAAAATAGAGCAAACATGGTTGTGAGGAGAGGATAAAAATAAATTAGCCAGCCACCTTAAGTCCAGATGATCATGATGATGAGGCTGATTAAGTGATTATTAATAATAAACAAAAATTAATTAATACCATTTATTCCTTGGGCAAACATTTTTGTTTGATCAGCAGCAATGAGTATGTGTCATGATAAACTATTAAAAATTTATTTTCCAAGCAACAACTAATTAATTATATAAAATCAAATTAAAAATAAACTTTGAACTTGTCTACCGTAAACGTTCTAAATTTATTGAGTGCGTCACCCGTATTTTCTATTTATTATCGAACTTTTTGAATTGAGATTCACTTATTTACTAGTGACATTTGTCATTTGTTTGGTTAGATTTTTCCATATGATTTTTCGGTTCGGTTGACTCTTTTGACTTTGACTAGTCTGACTGTTGCCAAAAATGATTTGCATTGCATTTGTGTTATATAAATGATTTTCTTAAAATATTATGTGCTAATTTATAAAGAATTCCTACTTGCTACCCCAATTTGATTATTATAATTATTTAAATAAATAATATCCACTTCTTATTTGATTGGTTATGATTATGTACATAACATAACTGTTAGTTTTATCAATAAATGTAGTATGACGTTTGACTGTAGTATGACATGACAGACGACAGTTCAGTTAACCTCAAATCTTTATCTTGGGTCGTCCAGCAAGCACGGACGGCAGTAAAAATCAAAAAATTATTAATTGTATACATAGATTTTTATTAAAAAAATCATGTCGAAAGGATTTACAGAAGATTTTGAACAGGTAAAAATAATCAATACTATCATATACTTTTTTACATTACAAAAAAGCCTACATATGTTTGGACTTAGACTATTCTTACCTACTTGCTTGGCAGGTACTAATCCCATAATATCTGGTTCTTTTATATTTGTATAACAATTTACATGCGAATTTAAACATTTTAAAAATCCATATATTAATAAAATTATATAATTTAATAAAACTGTGTCATATTTTCATTGACATTGATATATAAATGAAATGTCTCATAGATTATTGTCAATGTAAGATTTTACATGTATTAATTTTACTTTCCAGAGCTATGATTATAATTACGAAGACTATGCCTCGCATACTGGGGATCCCAGTTTGGATGAATACAATAGGCAGCACTTTAAGATGCCAGAAAGTGTGAAAAATTTTTTGGTATATTTTAGAAACAATGTGAATGAAGGTTTAATATTTGAATTGCAAGCTTTGTATGAACACACTTGGCCAAAATTGACTGAGGATTATTTTGAGAAAAGACCATGGCCCGAAGAGAGCGAAGTGGCCACTATTGTAGATAGTGATCCTGTAAGTACTCTTTTTTAATATTATAATTCTAACAAATTGAATTATTGTATACTGCTTTAATAGCAAACCAAACACCTTGAACATATCTAATTCCCCACAAGCCTTTATTTTTGTCCAATTTTTGTGAAATTTTTAGGAAATACCAATAATAACAAAACTTAGGGTAGAGAAACCTTGATTTTTTTGAACACCTTTGAAAAGTGTTCATTTGGATAATTTTTAAAATAAATTACTTAAAAAACAATTAGGAGCCATTCCGTTTTGATTCTTTTAAATTTTGCTGCTTTTTGTTTTAATAAGTATGTAGTAGTTTTTAAATGGGACCCTATTACTATGCCTCTGTTGTCCGTCTGTCTGTCAGCAGGTTGTATCTCATGATCCGTAATAGGTAGACAGTTGAAATTTTCAAAGAATGTGTATTTCTGTTGCTGCTATAACAACAAATAGTAAAAATTAAAGGTGGCTCCCCTACTAGAAACGTGTTTTTTTTTTTGGCCTTTTTGCTCGAACTTAATAAACTATTTAAAAAGTACCTACATAGTATTAAATCTTGTACAATGGTGCTGAACCTTTCATGTGTGAGTCCAACTTGCACTTGAACTTTTTTTTTTAAATGCTGCCTTATCTTTGCACACATTTAAAGCTCTTAATATTCTTGAGACACATAACATCGTGAAGTACCTATTCCCAGTGGCATGTATATAAATTCAATTGACATGAGTACAAATGATTGATATGTGAAATGGTTTGTAAAAGTTTAGAAAAATCATTGTCTGTACAGAGTATAAAAAAAAAAATTGAAGCTCTTGGTGTAAAAAGCCACAATTTGTCATGAAGTGACTGTTTTAGCTCAAAACATCTAATACTAAGGATACTAGCCACATACAAATTATTTTTATTTGACAGATTTAAAATTCTATTTTCTCAAAACTTAAAATGTGACATGTATCTTTATTATTCCAAGGCCTTCAATTGACATAGCCTTTTAACAGATCAAAAGAAATAATTGTTTTTTAAAGATATCGGATCAAAAACCCTATTTTAATAAGTTTTAAGATGTAATAGGTATTCTGATTAGTCACTTGTAATTTTTTTTTTTGCGAAAACTGGAACATTTAAATTTTAGAATTTGTTATTTTTTTAATATAGGTATTAACTGTTTAAATATTTAAATAAAACGAGAATAAGTGGTTATGAAATATAACATTATTACACAATACAAATAAATACATTTGGACATCCATTTATTTCTGCAAAAACAAAATGGTGAAATTCTGAAGAACTGTAATGGGATAGTCAGTATAACAAAACATTCAGTCACAGATCTCAGATAAAAAGCTTTAGCACAAGTAAAAAATATGTTACTACCAATTGCAGAAAAACTTTATTTTTCCAATACTTGAATAAATATAATTTAAGTTATCCTGGTGCCCCACAAGAATCTAGATTATGTCTATTATTAAGCTATTGCATAGCTTTTATCGCGGGCTTTGAGCAAGGCGACCGAATCAAGAAATTCCTTAATACCATAAGGAAAATAAACCTAACACCCCCCTACTCCGACCGGCACAGCGGTGCGGCGTTGAAACTTTCAACTTGAAAGCCGTGGAAGGTTTTATCCGACCCTATTCGTATTAGTGTGAAGCGGAGTTAAATATACGTCTGCGGACTGGAACTTTTATGCAATTCAAGAACTAGAAGAGCTTTCTCTGGCTTCTAATAAATTTGTATCACAAATGTTCCCGGCTGGCAAATATTAGATATTAATTTTTTTTGCAAGATTTATAAAATATTAATTTTTAAGCTATTGCATAGCTTTTATCGCGGGCTTTGAGCGCGGCGACCGAATCAAGAAATTCCGTAACAAAAAAAAACTTGATACCCCCACTCCGACCGGCACAGCGGTGCGGCGTTAAACAATATTTACTTCTCATTTATTCAATAAAAGAAAATCGAAAAATAGAAAAATTGAAAAATAAAAAAATCGAAAAAGAAATTCCGTAACGAAAATAAACCTAACACCCCCCACTTCGACCGGCACAGCGGTGCGGCGTTGAAAGCCGTGCATCGTCTAACGTCGTTTCAGTTCGGCAGACTTCGGCACGGTGTTTGTGTGAGTGCGACTAGACGTATACATGTAGACTAGCTGCTAACTGCTCATTTCTGATTCTATCTCTTTTAGACACAATTTCGGAAAAATTGAATTTGAAAATGAATAATGATCCACAAGAATCCACAACAAAATATGGTACAACCATTGACGTGGTGTTTTCAAGATATTTAGAGGATATCAAGTCTCAAACTTATGTTTCTTATAGTTTCAATGATAAAAAATCCTGAATAACCTACATGTATTGTAAGATAATAAAAATATTTTAAATAATATTAACTTCTCATTTATTCAATAAAAGAAAAAAAAATGTTTTCTTATTGGTCATCATGCTCAAAAAGTATAACTTGAATTAATATCAAAGAAAAAACTTGAATTAATATTAAAGAAAAAAAATACTGCATAAATAAAATAAATAAATAATTATAATTGCATGAGTTGATAAAAAATGCTATGCAATAGCTTTACCGCGGCAGTCCCCGAGTGCCACACGTATTTTTTAATATATATTATACCAATGATCTTCCCTTATATATGAACTTAAATAATACTGAATACTAATCTCTCCTATCACTGCAACAACACATATGACAGTTACTAAAAACTAAGATTTTGACTGAAGCTAAACAATGGTTTGATAGCAACGAATTACTTTTAAATCGCAACAAAACTGATACATGTGTCTTTAGGTTAAGGGCCGATCTTTTCACCTCTGAGTAAAGTTACTTCTAGGTTTTACTTGACAAATTAACAAAAAAATCACCCTATAGTTGAATCAGCAAGTAGTTACTATCAATTTTACTCAGAGGTGAAAAGATTGGCTCTAAACCAAACAACTAGTGAAACAATTACATTTCTCTACATATGTTTTGACACACAACTTACATGGAACTGCCAAATAAGTAACTTATGCAACAAGTTAACAAAATTCATGTTTTTCTCTACATATATATTCTCCAAATATAGTCAACGCAGAAACAGCAATAACTGCTTACTATGGCTTATTCCATTCCAATTTAACATATGGGATTCTAACTTGGGGAAATGCTAGCTTTACTTTACTACAAATAATTTGTATTTTACAAAAATCAGCAGTTTGTTCTATTCTATGGATAAACTATATTGAACCATGTAAATCACTATTAAAACAAAGTAGCTTAATTACCCTGTTTTCACAAGTCTAGCTGTAAAAAACAATTTGAGAAATTTCATATCACTCATACAATCATACATACGAAACTAGAGGGAAAGTCAGCTAATCCAAACAAGTAATAGAATAAACAAGTCCCGACCAATAGGCCTTTCTTTCTATAATGCACTTTCGCCCCACATCTGCAAGCTACTAGGAAACATGTTTAAACAGCAAATTACAGATTTATTACTGGAAATTGGTTTGGATTTCTTTAAAATTTGATCCAAACCCTCTGAGATCCAGTGGACCAGTTGAATAACAAATTATTTGTTGCATACAACTTTCAAACAGTCCACTAGTCAACTAGTCTTTTAACAGTTCTCGACATATATTTTGAAGAACTCAAACAAGCCTTATATAACATTAACAATTATTTTGTAAGAGTGAAACATGTTGCCTAATATTTTTAATATTTGTGGTATTTTTTAAATATTTTTTATTGCTATTATCTGCAAATTTTTATAATCTTTTAAAACTCTCTTTTATTTTATTTTAAATTTTATATATGTATTTTACCTGGGTTTAAGTACTGATGACTTTGTAAATATTTTTAAAACTCCCCCATCCAATTTTTCCTGGATACTCCAATGGTGATTCACATCAACAATACCCTGCCTTCACCTAGTCACTTATTTACATGTTTCAATAAAAATATCATTAAATAGCAACACCTTCGTATATAGTTTTTAATTTTCATGTTAAATACTGTTTTTTGCCATTTTGATAGAGTTATATATTTCCGAGTGACTTTAAAGGTCTTGTTAGAAGAAGAAAATATATTTGAGGTACTCCCAAAGAGCTATCGACTGGAGTCTTTCAGCCCATATTTATAGTTATTATATAAAGTATGTTAAGTTTCCCACAATAAGAGCTGGGCAAAATACTTTTTAAAAGTATTTAAATACTAAATACTCAATACTTTTTCATAAATACGATTATTTAAATCTTTTTTAAAGCAAAAGCTATTTAAATAACAAATACTTGTTTGGGATAAATATACAAAAGTATTTAAATTCTATCATAATAATAAAACAATTATGTAATTTTCTTAAAGGCCTAACACCAAGATTTGGACGGATTCAAAAATGGTAAGCTGAGGGTAATGACCTCTTCTAGTAAATAGGATGGGAGTTCTTAATGCCTCTCTGTTAATAATGTTGATATTAACTGATTTTTTGGTAAATCTGTGAGTGAAACATTGTATTATTTTCTGTATAGGTTCCAATTGTGTTTTCTCATATTAAAGTCTATTTGGAGGGTTATGGAGTAGATTATCAGGATCTCATTTTAGTAATGGTTCTTAGGCACTTCTTTCGTATATCTCATTATTAATGGTGTTTCTTCTACATGTTTGGAATAAGACACAGATAGTCGATTAGTGGTCTGAGTATAGTGTTGTTTTTAATATATATGCTTTTGTTTTTACATGTCCATCATCTAAAATGTTTGGCTCGAGTAACTACTTTTTTATGGTTATACAGTGTTTTTTGAAGTTATTACTCCAAGTTATTTAATATTACTTTTGTGTTTGACCAAAACATTTGATATGGTAATTGATGGTGAATAATTTTTGTTGTTATGATATGGTTTTTGGGGTATTATACTTCATTGTTTGAGCGACATTTCAAGATTTTCTGTGTAGGATTGCATCTTGTTAGGTCTTGTTAATTTAATGAGTTATATATTTTTTTGATTGATATACTAATGTACTGAATCGTTGGTATTAAAATTGTATTCGTAATCTCGGATTAAATATTGGGTTTTGCTATTTTCAAAGAATAGTGTTTATCAGCGAAAATTCGTAACTTTAAGGACATTAAAAATATGTTTATAGGTCTTGCTATTTAATGTATAATTATTTTTTTGATTGATACCAATGTAGTAGGGTACGATTACAATTAGAAGAACACAGCTATGTCATCATTTGGCAAAATAATTAATTGGTTATCGCCGCCTACTGGGGGTTTAGTGTATTGTTAATTTTTTATTTTTATTGATATTTATTGAAGTAGGATAAATATACAAAAAAAGAAAAAAATATTATAGAAATACAAATAGAGTACACTTAAAACTTAATAATTATTATTAACATTAACATAATCTGAGTTAAGAAAAATAAATTTGTTACACATTACAAAGATACTTTTAATCTTAATTTTAGACAGCTTAATTAACAATAAAACAAATAACAGTTGAAAGCATGAACCCAAATATTAAAGAAGAATAATAAAAAAGTAATAATCATATATATGAAAATTAAAATCAAATTTTATTAGTTTTAATAAAAGTTGTAAATTAACTTGCTAATGAATTCAACCCCCTGGGCAGTTCATTATATTCTTGGAAATCTTTATACAATAACGATGCCTGTGATTTCGAATAATTAACATTTTTAATGTATATATCCTTAGTTGATCTTGTGCTGTAATCATGAATATCCCCATAATAACAAATAATTTGATGAAAGTAGGATGGAGTCAAAGAATGAATTATTTTATAAATAAACATAATTGTCAAGTAGTACAACCTTTGCTGAATCGAAAACCATTGAAGAGAATTTAACATTGTGGCAATGGTTGTAAGACGATTAGTTTTTAACCCCTTACCGCATGTTTTTTTATTTGCTTGAAAAAAAGATTAAAGACGGGAAATAATATATATTCATTAGGAAAAATAGAAAAAAAAATATTTACATTTTGAAAAGATAAGGACATAAAATAAGGGTATGTGCCATTTATGGCACAACATGTGATTAAGACTTGCATAAAAACAATTTCGGTATTTGTTTATACAAAAAAAAGCTTCGCATTTCGCGCATTGTATAAAGCTGTTTCCAATACATCCAGGATACTTGCACCTTTATCTCTGATTTTGCCAATGTCCCCAGTGGTCAAGTTTATCGTTTATAACTTCCTGAATTGGGAAATCTGTGGTTGGACCACCATGCTTTTTCACCTGGAGCTCACCTTCAATCGGTAGTTTTGGTCGACCTCTTGGTTTAGTAAGGGACTTATTTGCTTTAGTTAGGCATTGGTTGACTTATATCCACCATAAAATAATGTTGGGTCCATCGTGTACCTAAAAACCAAATAAAAAAATGTGTTGGTTCAGTCATATTCATGTCATAATTGCATGCTGTGCCATATATGGCACAGAGAAAATGTTGGCAATAACTAGTATCTAATACATAAAAAAACACTAACTCACCTCAAGAATCTATCACCAAAGTAACACTTTCAACTTACAATATTTTTTCAAAGAATAAACTTCGATAATTTCGATAATACACAACATGTAAATGTCCAATTTCTCAAACGATCATCAGGTCTTATGCGCCATTAAAAAATTGTATTGTAACTTTCGAATTTATCCACTAGATATCGCCCCATGCTATGGTTTATCAAAGTAATGACCTGTGCATCACAGAGTGTGTTTATAAATACAGACAATTTATAAATAGGTTAAACACGCTTTGTGCCATATATGGGCCAGTATGCGGTAAGGGGTTAATATTATGCCCATGCCTCGATTTTGTAGTTTTTGAACTTGATTTAACTTGTTGAGATTAAATAAATGAAGAATGGAGGCACAATAATCGAAGTGAAGCTGAATAATTCTATTATATACTGTTATTTTAGTTGACAAGTTATTTGAAATTCTAGAGAAGAAATATAATTTTTTCAATTTTTTTTATTAATATAATTAAAGAAATCATTAAAAGTAAGTAGAATATCTAATTGGATACCTAAATACTTAATAGTTGGGACTATTGCGATTTTTTCACCATTTATTTGTAAATTAACATCATTGATATCAAGTAAGCTATATTTATGTTTAGTTGTAAAAATAAGTGCTTTTGTTTTAATTACATTCAATTTCAATTTGTTAAGTTGAAAATACTGGAATATAGGAAATATTGTTTCATACCTAACAACTTACCTATTTTTTATTTATTGATAGTTCTAGATAATATGTATACGAAATTCGAAGTAATGGTTATGACGTAGCGGTGTTCTAATTGTAATTGGATCCTACTAACGAATTTCGAGCTAAATGTATTTTTTTGGCATCTTTAGCCTTATGGTCGTTTGACAGGGAAAACCTGACTTAAAAAGCAAGAGAAAAATATTTCAAATCATTGTGATTGTAATAAATGTTTGGTACAAAAATATTTAAATCCGCATGTAAATGTGTTTGTTTCACCACCGTTTTTCTTCAAAATTATCCCGTTTCAAATATTCATTGGAATTGTATTTCTTAATTTTTTTCACAACATTGAAATTTGTCTGCTAGTTTCTGCTAGCACAAATAGAGAATAACAAAGGTCCCAAAAGTCAACACTGAGGTACACCAGATTTAGCTGAAATGCACTCCATACAACCTAACCTCTTACTTACCTAAGTAACCTATTTCTGAAGAACATATATATTTCCGTAAAAACATTTTTCCTGAAACTAATTTATCATACCGAATCAAATGACGAAACAACAAGAAATAATGTGGGTCACTTGTAAGTCAAATGGTACTGTCAATCATTTGTAAGTCGCTTCCCTTCCCCGTACAAGCTCAGTCTGTTTCTGGTGTTATAATTAACTTGTAAGGGGATGAATTAATATCTTCAAAAGTCAACTTTTAGGAAATCTACGACTTCGCTTGCTGGACTACCGGCTGCGCAGCCCCTCCTTGAGCCAGCAGACTATGATTTAATTATTTACTCACAGCGCATGCTTATAATTATTCCTTAGATATAATATTAATACATTTCCGCAATAAAATAAAGTTCAAGTACCAAAAAATATCATCAATTTTGATCTGCATGGAATTAAAAAACAAAATAGTACCTTCGGTTCCCATTTCTGACACATCTTTAATTTTTTCCATCATGAAATTCTGTTTATTGGCCAATTCTTCTTTGAATTTTAGCGCCATCTCTTCCGTTTTGCATTTAAGTTGATTTTTATATTGTTCCATCTTGTCAGAACTATATCGTTTTTTAATAAGAACGATCTGAAAACCGATGTGGAAAACAAAGTTAGTTCTGTTAACGGGACTCTTTATGAATAGTTAAAGAAGCTTGAATATCAATAAAACGCTTAACCCAATTTTTATATTGAAAAATCAATTATCAAATTACTAATGAATAATGAAATAATTTTGTATACCTCTTACCTCTACTGTGTCTGAAATCAATGGAATTTTATGTTATAATGATAGTGGTTTAAGTGTACATAGGAAGGTCAAGTTCCAAGGTTTCATTTAGATAAGTACTTTGTTTTATTTTTATTCCTATGACTAACTTAAATTGGTTGGATTTAAAAAGAATGCTAAAACAAAATTTAAAAATGCACATGCACTCTGCTGTAAAAAAATAATTATATTTTTTTAGGAATAGCTACAGTTTTTATATTAATAAAAAATTAAAAACAAGTTTTATTTATGAAAGTAGGAAAACACAAAGTATCAATAAGTACAAGAATACCGTATTTTTACTTTCCTATCTGTATACAGATAAGGAAAGTATAGGAATCATGATTTTTTCGATCGCGAGTTTTATAAAGAAGATCTGGGAGCATCCTAAAATTTATATATATATATGATCTTTTAGAAGCAAATTGTTAAAAACTTCAATTTTTAAAAAACAAAAATTTTCGAATTTCACAGGCCAGTTTCAAAGAATTAAAGGATTGTAATAATTATTATTTAATATTGGTATATTAGGATTCCTATTTCAATAATGATGTTTTTCTAATTTTGACATATAAAGTGATTTTTTTGTTATCGCAGCAAGTCAAAATTATCTACTTTATGCAACCAGTTGCATAATATTGAACATTATGAAACTGGTTGCGAAAAATTCATTGTCACCAGTTACGAAAAGAAAAGAAAAATAAACCCTTTTTTGGTTTTAAAATTAATATATACATCCCAGACAGCACAAAAATATTGCATGAATATTCAATGCATATCTCAACTGCATACTCCTATATTCCATGGATATGCCATATCCGCCATGGCATATGACAGGAAGATTGCAGGAATATTCAAGGTCACCATGAAACATATGCCCACAATATGTTTTTATCTGCTAAAATATATGTATGGCATATTCTCTGGATTTACTGAGGATATCTATGTATGCCTATATTCATGGTATTTTGAATATTCATGGCATATTCAATTTTTTTTTTTTGAAATGCCGTACCATAGTTTAGAAAATAAAACCCATACCTACTTAAACACAAAATAAATTTTATTTTAAAAATAAAGCAAATTTTCAAAAAATAAAACTATACATACAAAAAACTAAAAATTTAAATTTATTTGCTGAGATTCTTCACGTACTTTTCTCCTAAAAAAAATGATATATAAGATATGTATATGTATTATAAGATATTTATAAATTATTTACATTTTGATGCTTTTAATAATAAGTGTTAGAATTTAGATAAAAATATCAGTAAAATAGAAATATTTCAAAACCTTGAGACAAACATTACAGTAATACTTACTTCTATAGCATCTTTGAGTCACTTTATTTATAGGCCTCTACATTTTCCGTTGCCATTTGTGTACTGTGGATTTTCCTACACATCTCTAAAAAAACAAAAATAGGTTTACATGGTGCCTTGTCTGCAAATCAAAAGAGACTCGTCTACCAATTGATTTACACTTCTTGTAAAATATTTATGATTTTAAGCACCACACTGATACTACAGAAGGACCATATATTATAAATAATCAGACTTACCCCTTAGGTGGGTATATCGTAAGAAAAAACAAAAACTACACACTACACGTTTCTATTGGGCATTCCAAACTGAATGCCTACCAGTGGGCTTTGACGGGTTATGTTATGATATTGCAAAATTATGGCAACCCTGTAGACCTGGTGATTTGACAAGGTCAATGAAATAGATAGTTACATAGATTGATTATCCATATTTTTCAAAATAAACATAAGCGTATGCCTTGAAGTAAAAATGTAAGCAATTATTTTTTTTTAAATATCTAAAGGCTAAAAATTGGTTTTAAAACACATTTTTGCTAAACCGATTCAAATTGATAAATATTTGCCAGGCAATATGGCCGCTCGTAAACGACCAGCTTTGAGCAATCTATATAACTATTAATGACAACATGACAACAGGGTTGCCATATCTAAACTGTCATTACCCACTGGTAGCCATTTGGACAGGTCGTTGGAATGCCTAATTCTAGTAAATCTGATAAAGTTTGGTTGTGTCATATTCTTTTTTTTTTTTTTTTCATTAGTGGCCTTCACCGTTTAGAGTATTTGACCAGGGTATCATGAATAAAAAATATTCCTCACAATCGAACTTCCCGTATAACAAAGACTTACGTTCGACGATAGGCTAGATTATGAATGGAGCCAATAAGACACTATTAGGTAATTTTTACTACCAACTACCAATACGTACTAGGCGCATACTTTTGACTGTTTTGAAAATAAGTTTGCACAATAATGATTTAAAGTTACATTCCGAAGTTCTAAGTTCACGTTTTTTTTTTTAATTTAAGTCTTTATAAGCTAAACAAGGATGATCCTGTTAACTATGTCTTCATTTGTACTTATAGATAATAAAACAAAATAGTTAAATATAACATAATATTCTACAGATATATCTATACAATATGAAAAATGAATATGCAGAGCATATCAAAAATACATATGTCTGGAATATCCTTCTAGAATGTAGAATATGAAATATATTCAGTGAATATTCCATAAATATTGCAATATATTTTGGCAAATAGGCAGATTGGTGGCATATGCCAGAGATATAGTGTGCTGTCTGGGATTACTATTATTGAAAGTTTATATCAACGAAGGGCAGGTAGACTTATAAAAATAGAATGTGGTTATACTTACCTGGCAATAATGTTGTTTTGATCCTTATTTTCCATTCTAAATCAGCACAAAATAAAACAATACATGACAAAATAACATACTTTCTTGAAAACTAAATAACTTTAACAGTTTCCCTATGATGATATGCCTGCCCCAGACTATGATCAATGCGAAACTTCGAATCGGGCCTCGTCACTCCATTGTATTGCATCCCATTGATGAGTTATCCAACTCATATGTTCTTTTGACCATCTTAATCGATTTGTTTCTGTTTCGCCGTTAGTAGTGGTTTTTCTTTAACCTGTAACAATATTGTCAATTTTAAGCAAACATATTTGATTGTTTTAGTGTTTTCAACCCATTCTTATTGTTTTTATTATTATAAAATTACTTTGTAAGTCCCAAATCCCAGTTTGCTAGCTTCCCCATGACATGAGAATCTCGAAATTCTTCTTCCAACAGCACATAATTAAAGATTAGCACGACGGTTGGTTTCAATAACTCTTCTCAATGCTCGTCTATCGGCATTTGTAATCTTGCTTTTTTTAATATGACGGGGCTTTGGGCTGATTGAACCAGTAGTTTTGTATCTACCAACTATATTTCTTACACTATTTTGTGATAAAGAAAAGCTTGAAAGAGTTTAAATTGCCTTGTTAGTTATCTGCATTATTTGTAATTTTTTCAAAGCTTCCCTCGATTCTGGCTTATTTTCTATTAAGCATTCCAAACAAATGAATTGCTAGTGAAAAGGTTTGTTATATCTAAGGGTTGCAACATGCGGTGTATTCCATCTACTATACGTAAAATCATGAATAATGGATTACATTTAAATATTTTATGTCAAACAATAAAAATAATTCGAGAGACGCTAAAATGGTGGTTCCCACCTTATCGAGACTGAGGCACACAAGGGTAAACTCATAGCGTTACAAAAACGAGAAATGATTTAACTTGGAACGAAATACCGAAAGCCGATAGTATCAGCATGTTGAATTTTTTGGTTTGTGAAGCATTGGCATTACTTAGGTTAAACCATGTGATGATTTTCACAAGACTTGATTTTTAAAACCATTCTCTATCGTCTTTTGATTAGGGTTTAAAAACTTGTTCGAGCAATTTATTCATTAATAATTGGCCCCTTTACCTCTTAAGCCTGCTCATGTAAAATATTTGTGCTTCTTACTTCGCCTATTTATATTCTATTAATAAAGGACAGAAGGATGAGTATTGCAACTATGTTAAAAGAAATAAATTGGCTTTCAGTTCAGAATTATGTTCAGTACATGACTGATATTTATTTATAAAATAAAAATGACATAGTACCATCGCATCAGATCTATTAGAAAAAATTCAATATAATTCGCAATATCACAACTATAATAGAAGAAACCAATCTGACTTTCATGTACGGCAAGCCATCACTAAAAGTTCCCAAAATACAATTTTTATTAAAGATTTAAAAAATTTAATATAGACTGCCTACAGAAATTAAAAAAAAAACAATAAATGTATTCAAAAGTAACCTCAAACAATACTTGATAAATAAACAGAACGGATATACTTTCTTGTAATAATTCTCTTTAAACCTGCCCTTTTTAAGTATTTCCCTTAATTTATTGTTATTTTACCTCTCGTTTTATCCGCATTTATTATAGATTATTTGTTTTGAGATCATAAACTTTATTTTAAAAAATTACTTCATGTTATATTAATACCACTTACTATGTTTAAATTATTAATAGTTTTGCGAAGATAGGTTATAGCAACTTATAGCCACAAAACTATTTTTGTGTTAAAGTAGATCTATATAGAGCAATGTAATTTACAAAGGCATTCTTTCAACATACAAATAAATAACAACTTTATAATTAAAATGAAAAACAACAAAATACCTCGGTATCATAATTGATCCAAATTTGAAATGGGCATTATATCCTACCTCTCTTTTATATAATAAAAAAGTGCTTTGTATAAGAACATTATTTTATCTGTCTTGCTCTACTTTTATTTATGGAAAGCCTGAATTGAGATATTTATTATTTGCAATAAATATCAAAAGAAGTATACATTTTTAAATAATTTGAAATTTAAGAGCCATTCACATATCACAGTTGACATCTTGATACTAGACAGGCACAGCCAAGCATTATTTTGATTTTTGCCAAATAAAATGGCCGGTTAATTATTCTATGGGGTTGCGACACAGAACTAGTAAATTTGATGGAGGTGTTTTTGTGGCTAGGGGCGAAATAGTAGTACGCTTAGTAGCACCACCATAAAAAGTCATTTTTAAGAAACTGCTTATATATTTTTTGGCAGGCTTGGCGACTAATTTCGAATGAAAATTGCCTCCAAAATGGCTATATGTTTGCAAGTATGAAGGTCGCAACCCGCCTTAGAAATTTCACCACCCGCCTTAGAAATTTCACCTTTACTATCAACAGCTGTTGTTTGACAGGTCGTTAGAGAATGTTTGCAATTTATGGAATGTGAAGAATGTTAGGAATTTTGACGTTAGAAATAATTGAAATTCCTAAAAATGTCACATAAGGAATGCATAGGCGGATTTTAAGAAAATTGTTATTAAACCGAAAATTCTGAAAATCAATAGGGTTCTAAGTTAGAAGTATTTATTCAAGAAAATCAAAACCGCAAGTCAATCAGAACTTTCTTTCTAGAGTTATCGTGCCGGCATACATACATACAGACGATCAGACGAAATTTTTTTTTTTTTTTGATTTTCGGATTCAGAATGATCAGAAACATGAAAAGAAGTTTTAAAAAATGG